GAATTTACTCATTAGGAATGCAATTGAGTTTGGTCGTTTGTGGATTACTGCACCCGTGTGCACCGAACGATTATTGCTTGTACCAATGTTTTTCTGTAAAGGGATAGAGTCCAGTCACGTCGAAACACTGTTTATCATCTATGAGACTTTCAAGGAGGAAATAGGAAACTGGGAACCTTAGTAGATGCTGGGGTGGTCACCGGCCAAATGAATACCTTTCTTATGTAGGGTATATAAGGCGGTGGGGTAGTCAAGGGAGTACGATTAGTGGGTTGTGAGGGCTTAGTTACGATGTTTGTGTTCGTTTCCTCTATGTGCTTTGTTTCCTTCATGTGGCATGCTTTAACGAATTGTGAACAAAAATTCTCAACCAGAGCAAGTTTTTTAAAATGCAGTTGCAATAAATTTTATTGAAGCACGTTGCAATAATTCAATTGAAAGTCAATTGCAATATTTTTATTAAAACTCAATAGCAAAAGTTCTATTGAAACACTACTGCCAAAATTCAATTGAAATGCAATTGCTAAAAATTCAATTAAGACTCAGTGGCCAATAGTCTGGGACGGATCAATAGCGACTCAATAGAAAAAGTAAATTAAGTTTCAATTGAGACTGAATGAGGTCTATTGAGTGAGTCCTTTACACTTTCAATTGAAAGTCAGTTCATTTTTTTGTAAGGGCATAAATGCGCGGTCTGAAGTAGTTGGTGTCGCTCGTTGACAGTTTTGGTTTGTCACGCTCCTGTATGCTATGATCCGTTTTTTGCTGCCTTCAAAATATAAAATTCGTATAGGAGCAAACAAGCGTGGACTCAACGCGACTACTGAGAACCCGGAGTTGAACCAAAATTTCGAAAGATCAGATAAATAAAACGACCGAGACAGAAAGAGGAAAGGAGTGCCTGATTGGCGCCATCGGCTCCCATGCCGGCAGAAAGTGTTAGAGAGGAGGAAATGAGAGCGCGCGGGGCGACAGAACGCCGGGCTCTGACTGAAAGCGCTAGAAAGTAGAGGCAAATTTAGCTGCCTTTGCCTCCACTTCTCTCGTCGGAAGTTTGTCAGCCTTAATGGGGGACTTGTCTCTCAGCTGTGGATGAGAAACTTTGCCATTCAGTACAGCCGCTAGCCTGGCGTCTTTAACGTGCGTCTCGCAGTAGTGATACACGACCGCACGCCGGTACGATGCTCATCCAGAACAAGACGGAGAGGGTTGGTGATTGAACTCAGGATTCCTGGGTTTTGCAGCGGGAGTTTTCGCCCTGTGTGCTCCGAGTTGGTGTGCGCTAGATTAAATGTATATGCTCCGCTTGACGGGGCAGAGTATCGCAATGGTGTTGCCATTGCGGCCATGTTGTTTCCAAGGACAACGCACTGCGGGAAGCGACCGTCGCTTCTGCACGAGACCTTCAGGCGCAGATAACGCTGTGAGGCGGCGTGCTGCGGTGCGCAGAGCAGAAGAGATGAAGTTCGGCGATGAACGCCGCGCGCGCGCCGGGGTCCCGTTATTTGACTCCTCTTTCTCTCTATGACTCAGTAGAACGTCACCGTCCTCCCTTCGCGAGGCGCAGCTTCGAGTTGTTGTCTGGTCCGAGTTGCCCGGTTGTGCTGGTCTCGCATCACTCCGCGGGTGCCGCAGATGCCAGCAACGGGATCGTCATTCGTGTCGTCTGCTTCCCAGACTTTCGAAACATGTTTTAAAACAAAGCTCGCGTTATAAAACAACCCGATTATGCAGTACCCAGTAGCTGCACGTAATGCTCAATAGACAAGGAGGCTTCCAGTCCGTTCGAATTTACTGAAGGCTGTATATTTCGCAAACCCAAAGTGAGAAACATGCTCTGCCCGAAACTCGGCACCTGTAAGGTCGCTTTCCCTCAAGAATATGGGATCCAGCTCGGCTCACGAGACCGCTACTCCACCAATACGGAACGGAGTTGGATGGGCAAGGAAAAGGAACGCGATAATCTGGGTCTGCAAACAAAGCCCATAGAGTTAACCTAGTGTGCGCTAGCCCACTCGGCCACCGATTCCCCAAAGCAGCTAAATTAGCCTCTGCTCATTAAGCATTCCAGTTAGAGCTCGGCGTTCCGGCGTTCCCGCGCGCTCTCGTTTCCTCCTCTCCCTCAGTTTCTTACCGCATCGCGTCGGGTGCGTTAAAGGGGTTATGACATGAATATTTTGGGAGGTAGATATGAGGTCTACGTGTGTCATGTAGTGTTCACAAGAAGTTTCATGAATTTTGGAGCCCTAGTATTTGCAAAAATCAATTTTCTGATGTTGATCATTTGTAAGAAATTATCAGGCAACCCGGAAAAAATATGACGTAGCCAGCCTTTACCCCTGCCTCCAATAGTCACAACATGGAGTCCATGGGTCACGTGATACTGACGGGCTCGCCACGCTCGGCGACTCTCTTCACTCTATTCGCGTAGGCACTCTTGCGAGCACAGATCCACAGATGCTGCCGCCCTGGCCCTGCCGCATGGCGTCTGGCATCTGATCTGATCCTCTCCGCCGAATTGCGAGAATGGTCAAAGTATGTTGTGCGATGGGGTGCTTTAACGCGCAGAAGAAGGGGGCGGCTGTGTCATTTTTCCGCTTCCCGAAGGATTCGTCGATGCGGAACAGGTGGAAGGTAGGAGTCGCGCGCGACGGCTGGGAGCCATCGGATTCAACGATTTTGTGCGCGGCCCATTTCACGGCCGACTGCTATGAGGACATCGACGACTGTCGATCTTGTGTCGGACTACAGCCTAAGACTGTCCGGCTTAGGCATGGAGCAGTGCCAACGCTGTTCGTCGGTTTGCCACCGAACGGGAACAACGAGGTACGTATACATACGTATGTTGCAACATGTGTGTACGAGCAGCAGCCCGAGTGCGCGCGATGATTGATTTCAATCGCGGCTTCAAGTATGTTCCTTATGTTTAGGCGTATAAAAGAGGTATTCACTGCTTCGCACGATGATTTACCGCAGCACAGCTGCAAGCACGCACTCAATGTTAAGATGCAATGCAACGGATTATATTACACCGTCGGTACCTCGGTCGGAAAGGGTACGAGACTCGTATAAAAGGAATGCTTACAAAGAGCTTTCTAAGCCGTGGTATAGCGTAGTGGTAAGGTGTCTGCTTCATATAAAAGTGGACGCGGGTTCGATCCGCGGTGTGGGCCTACCTTTTTTTTTTTTTTTTCGAGGCATTTAGCGATATTTACATCTTTTTTTACGATCATCACAAAAAAAAAAAAAAGATTGTTGTTGACGAAACTTTGCAGAACTAAAGTGCCTACCTTGTGATCGCGTGCTGTCGGCTTCGGCTAGCAAACAAGCATGCCCACACGAATAACATCTAGCTCTGCTACACGAACCCTCGTGCCATGAGCCACCTGTCAAAGCCTTGAAACCAAATATTTCACAACAAAGTAATGTTACAACACTATCGGTAAAGTGACAGATGGGGTGTTTAAAAAAGGTGTCGCATGACTTGCAAAAATGTTACTTAGATGCTGCCGAATACTACCGAGACAGAAGCAAATTATTTTAAACTCACCAGATACTGCAATATTGTCAAAACAGCATACTATGGTGCCTCCGAATACTTTTCAAACAGAAGTAAAAATTACTGGAAACTGACCGGACACTGCAATCATTTGAAAACAGCTAAGAATACAAAGAAGCTAACCATTGGGATTCTTTGTGCTTTACTTTGAACACTATACCATTGACAGTTTTCTTGTGTTCTCCCTAGATTTCATCCTACCTACCAATTTCACATCCCTGCAGTGAAGGCATTGAATTGGTGCTATTTCGTATGAAAACCTGTTAGAAGCCAGGGCAAAAAGCTGCCCACAGCAAAAAAAAAAAAAAAGGACTGAAAGGAGCGTGCATAGCACGCCAGTGCGCTGTCTGTTTCTTTTGCCCCTAGTTGTTCACTCATAATCGCTTCTCTATATCAATTAACCCACCTCCCCCACTGAAGACAGCTGGAGTCACTCTCGCCCTCTATTCCGATCACTCTGTCTCCAGTTCGGCAGTTAATTTCCTTATCCGTGGTTTGCTTGACTCACAGATCGTCGATGAGCCACTGGGTGCACAGCACAACACTGCAGTGACAGATAGCATCGGTTTGATGACTACCATGGAAGCGTCATCTACAGATATGGCTGATGCTGAGCCATGCACCACTTCATGGCCAGTCCGAATATCACCCAGTGTGGCATCCAAGTCCATACAAGTGGAAATGAGGCTTAAATCTAGAAATGTGCGATGCCAGACAACAACAAAAGTTGCACGCACCGGTAATCATATCTGTAATTTTTTTTGAGAATGCAATATCTGTGTGAAGTAATAATTACAGTTTGCGTCACACTTATTTCACCCCGATTTCTTGAAATTGGTAAGCATTGCTTTTCTTCTGTTCCATTCAGCTGTGCACACTCCCCGCTCTGTAGCCAACCTGGTGAGCACCTCGTCACAAACTGAGGTTGCATCAAGTCCCCATTACTGGCAGTCCTCACCGATACGATCACCTGACAGGTCGCCTCAGCGTTACCTTCAGAACTTCAACGACGAAATGGAAGAAAGTGTCACCAACGATGAAGCTGACTTATCGTATGTTCCTTCAGTGTATGAAATAAGTGCAGATTAAGATTACTGTTAATATGAACTAGACTCACTGTCACGCATTTCTACCTTACTTTCAGGGTGACCGTTAACTTCGATGACGAAATGCAAGAAAGTGTCGCCAACAATGAAGATGACTCGTTGTATGTCCCCTCAGTGTGCGAAACAAGTGCAGAGTAAGATTACTTTTAATGTAAACTAGACTCTTTGTGACGCATTTATACCTTACTTTCAGGACAACCATTGGATCCGAGAGCGACTCCGTTCTAACCACTGAACGGAAGTTCATTGTAAATGAGAGAAAGTTGCTGGCACTCTTTACATCATGCCCAACATGCCACAAAAGCGTTCTCCCTGAGGTTTGCGTTTCTGGGACGTCAGTTAAAATCTCGACAACGTGTTCCGATGACCATGTTAGATCGTGGGAGAGCCAGCCAACGGCAAAGAAAACATCAGTTGGAAACCTGATGGTGGCTGGAGGGATACTGTTCTCTGGCCTGAGCCCAAGCAAGACATTGAGGTTTCTGACCTCCATCGGAGTGGCAACATACTGCACGAGAACATTCTTCAGATATCAGACGGATCTTCTGTTGCCTGCTGTGCAACAAGTAAACACCAGGATCTAACTCTGTCTGCCAAATAAAAATAGAAAAGGGAAGAATTGAAATTATGCATAATTCACTTTCAGGTTTGGAATGAAGCACAAAAAGACCTTCTGGAGAAGATTGAGCTTCCGGTTGCACTTGCCGGTGATGGGCGCGCCGATTCACCAGGATTTTCGGCAAAATATGGAACCTACACGTTGTTGGACATGAGAACAAACAAAATATTACACGTGGAGTTGGTCCAAGTAAGTTGAAACGTATCCTTTTCCATTTATTTGTTGTTCCCGACTTGAGCCTAAGTCCAGCATTTCAGTTACTTTCATGCACCATTTTCGTCTGTAGGCGAATGGAAAATTTTTGTGTAGTCTGCTGTTAGTTTTAGCATGGTCGGCGAAGTTGAGCACAAAGCCATGATAACTCGACATACTTCGGGAATGTTTGAGTAATCCACACGACTGGTTAGATGTAAGGGAAGACAAAAGAGACAAGGACGGTCATGCTGTCTTTCCTTGAATCTTACTTCTGTTACCAGCAAGCTCTTTATTTCAGCTATATACGACTGACTCGTAGTGAAACAATGTTATCCCTGTCAAAGGCACACAGTTGCTACTTCAGAGTCAGTGACGACAGTTTTGCAGTTAGTAAGCGGGACTTGGCACGGATTTGCAAAGTTGTATACTCTGTTCACCTTTAAGCTGACAGTGAGGTGGAGGCTACTTGTGCGGCGGACCAATCACTCGCCTGCCTTTTATTGCTTGACATTCCTCTCTGCACGCACGTATGAACAGAGAGTGTGATCACATGACACAAAGCTGACGGTTGAGTGGTCCGCCGAGCCTGTAGCTTCCACTTCACTGTTGCCTTAGGGATGATTGGAGTTTCTTTTTTTTTAATATAGTGTGTGTGTGGGGGGGGGGGGGGGAGTGTATAAGTGAGTGAGAGAGAGAGAGATAGATAGAGAAAGAAAGAAGGCCACAGATTTCGAAGTGCAGCTATTGGCCAACCTTTCCACACGGTACAGGTTTCAGTTTCCGTAACCACCCTCCCCCCCCCCCCCCCCCCCCCTCTCAAGAAAGAAAATTCTGGTTCTGCTAATGCATGCAGCAGAACCTTAAATTCAGGTCGAAGGTTGAGAAAGCTCACACGTGTAAACAAGACCTCTATCAGCTATGAATGTCTCGTTTGAATCGTAGTTGAAGCCAACACTTCGCTTCGAGACATGATTTTTTGAGGGGGTATGCTTCTGAAGGTGCTGTCTCTGAAAATGGCAGATGTCACTCTAAGGCTTGGTTTCTTAGGTTCATATCAGCCCTGACTGCTTGTGTGTTCTGTTAACTGACATTTTATTTTATTTTACAGTCAAACGAAGTTGGGGGCAGTGCCCGCATGGAGCTCGAAGGCCTTGTACGGTCCATACGGCACCTTGAAGGATGGGGAGTATCCATCTCCACGTTGGTCACTGACAGGCATTCGCAGATAAGGAAGTACCTGAGGGAACAACATCCGGATATTAAGCATCTATTTGACTGCTGGCACGTTGCAAAAGGTTAATTATTATTTCCTCACATTTCCTCCTTCTTATAAAGGTGTTAACCAGAAATTACTGCTATGGTGCAGTTGCAGAAAAGAAAGTTTCGTACACCTCTGTATGTGCTATCCAAGGGTAATATACAGAAATACAGGCTAGAAGTGCACACTTTAGTCCGTGTTAGGTGCACTTGCTCTATTCTTGTAAGAGCCCTGCAGTGCTCTGGGCTTGACCCAATAAGACAAAATGAATGTTAACACACTTATGACATTAAGAGTAGCTGTTGCATCAAGGGTACTTCCAAATTCCGTGATTATTGTCCTTGGCCGCATTACATGGAGTGTAAACATGTTGAGTCTTTTGATATATGAAACCATTATTTAAACGCTGTGTGTAAAGATATGTGGGACGTATCCCAATCCCAGAGTCTAAAGGTACGTTGGACGTACCCGGAACCCTGGGTCTAAAGATACGTCGGATGTATCCAGATCCCAAAGTCTAGAGATACGTCGGACCTAGTCGGTGAATGGCCACCGGTTGTTGAGAACGTGTGGAAAAGTTTACGAAAGTGCAGTGCCGCATGAAAAAGGCAGAACTCTTAGAAAGATAGTTTCGCCGGTCTTGCGGCATAATCAAAAATTTCTTGGCATGCCGAATTTCTGCGTTTCTGCATTCACACGCTTGGATACTGATCAAGAATCGGTGCCGCAGCAAAGTTTTGAAGGTGTGTCAAGCGTAGATGATTTTGCATCATATGTCGACCGTGGAGTTGTGGATCGTCCAGCTGTTCCGGCAATTTGTTATGAATAAAGGAGGGAAAACAATCTGTACGGTTGCTCTTATGCACTATTAAGCATGGCTATGTTCCAAATCTACTCTAATGGATCACATGGCAGCGCAAATAGAGCAACTCTGTGGAGGTTTTTGAAGGCGAAAGTGCAAGACGGCGAGATGGAAAATATTTGAGGTGCGGCCCATATGGTTGTGTGCAATCGACTGAGCAATCACAATTAGGCGAGCTGCGCTCGAACTTGATGTGATGTGCAATTGCTGATAACGAAGGTCAGTGATGAGGAACTGTGTGCGCGGTATTTTGTAAACTGTCTGACGACTTCAAAAAGACATACCTTCCCCCATCTTCCGTCGCCATAGGACGCTGGATCAAGCTCGTTTCTGGACTGCAAGAGCCGCAAGTTACAAATACAGTCGTTGGAGGAAAGTAAAACGCTGCTCCAGAGGCACATACGGTTTCATGCACATTACACTCGCAAAACACATCCACACGGCGTCCAATCTTGATCGGTGTCCAAGCATGCGAATGCACAGAAACGCAGCACTTCTGTGTGCCAAGGAAGCTTTGATGATGCCACGAGACGTGCGAAACCTGTTTTCGACAAGTTGTCCCTTTTTCCTGGGGCACTGCGCCTTCGTAAAAATTTCCACGTGTTCTCAACGGAAAGTCTCAACACTTACGCAAGTCTTAAAAAAATTCTTCGGTGAATGACGATTAACGAATAGAAAACATGTCTTCAGCATGCTAGCAATGCAATGCGTGCTTCTGCAATGCTAGCAAAACCGAAATTTGCCTGAGCAAGATGGCTGTTTGGTGGCTTCACTCGCGCTGCAGTGACCAAGCGGCAACGTTACTAAAACACTCAGTTGGGAAACTCGCCGTCGAAACCTAGGCCGCTGGCGTCCACCGAGACCGAGCTAAATGCGACAACAGCGCCACTCTTTATCATTTGTCTGTACTGTGGTCACATTGAGCTTTTACAAAGCATGTTTTTGCGTAAAAACAAACAGAAAACACTCTTTATGTGAAATTTATTGGAGTTTAGTACAAAATGAAGGGCACGTGATGTTTTTGAAATCTTTAGTTTGCAAGGTTTTGTTGCACAATTAATATTGTTTTTATACAACCATGCCTCAGCGGTGCTTTCAGGTAAAGCGTCCCGACCTAGGTGCATTTTAACTTCGGTTGTAAAACGCGGCGCGTCCGCCGGGGAGACGGGGGTGGCACCCCTGTAACCTCTTCGACTGTATCTGTTCTTGAAGACAAAATATAAGTCATGTGCAATTTCTCGAGTGGCCGCTGCGGGAGAAATGGCGGCGTTCTTTTCGCCATTAGTTAGGTTCTCGAGGACAGATCGGGGCCACTTTTTCAGGGCAGTCTCTATGGCAGTTTCCCAACTGAGTGTTTAGTAACGTTGCCAAGCGGGGAAGGGCGATCCAGCAATTGTCACAGAGATGAGTGAATACACCCATGGGAAATTATTATTCTATATGTAGCAGACCTATAATAGGGTAGTCTAGTCTGGTACACATGGCTTGCACGTGACATGAAAGCAGTCCTCCTTGCTGGTGGTAGAATGCACTGAAGCTGAGGTGACTCGTTTCTAGTTTGTAGAATTAGTACAGCACTAGTTTTGCATTTCTAGGGTCATTAATGGGGAAAAACCGAAAGCTGCTTGGCAGTGCTCGCTCCTTGTCGGTTTTTTACACCATCAGAGGCATGTAAAGGAACGTTGCATTATACAAGCGCAAAAATCAGTTGGCAGGAGCTGTGACCCGACGATTCTTTTTCACGCATTGCAAGCTTTGCACGTCTGAACGAAACGAAATTTCGACCGCCAGTGAAAGGAACGGCCGGAAACGGCAGGCGACAGTTCATGTTTCATCAGTTTCGTAATCTCATTTCTTTCGAAACTGTGGTGCCTGGAGAGCGTCTTCAACTGGTGTGTTTAGTGTCCTATGCTGCCCATACATCAAACATGGTCCCAAAGTGTTAACAAATAATGTCACAAAAGCCAAAGTGTCATGCTGTAAAGCCCCTGTATCCGGGAAAAGTGGCGCATTCTCTTCCCTCCTCCTCCAAAAAACCGTTCTTACCCCACCTCTAACTTCCGGTTTGCGACAAAGTGCCCTCGGGAAGTTCCCAAGCGTCTCGACGTCTTGGTCAGCTGAAGCGGCGTGATGCCGGTCGTGTGGACTTTTCTCGTTTTATAAGTGTGGCAATGACCCCATTTAGAGCCGCATTCGCATCCGACCGCCCTAATGTCGCTCTAGATCCATTCGTCCAACCGTGGATCTCAAGAATGCTTTGGATAATCGTCCCGATCATCACTACCGAGTTCCATTATTGGTCAGTGTCTCGTGTCTACCTGTCTGCCCCTTCGGCTTCACAGGAATCACAAATTGCTTTTATTCATCACATAAAACCGCCAAATTGCAATTATATTCTCCACGATTTCAGACGAGTCACTACTTATTTTTAATCTGTGGGGAGAAAGCATACTCGTGCTTGTCGCACTTGATTCGCTCGCACTTATGTTGAATCGGGGTATAGATACTTCCACATGCTCGTGTCTGCAAGCTTATGAACTTTGTGCGAAACAAAGCATGGTACGTGAGCATGTAAGACACACTTAACGAGTGAGCATACTCCGCATGCACCCATAAGTGAGAGCGATGCCAATGCTACAAGCACGAGCAGGAGCACGCCCGAACCTCTGCACGCACCCATAAGTGCGAGCGACGCCGATGCTACAAGCACAAGCAGGAGCGGGCCGTTTTGAACGACGCTTCTTCCACGGCACGGGCATCCATGCATGCCAACTCGGCAGCGTTGTGATCGCTATTACATCGCTCGCACTTACGGTGGAATGGAGTGCATAACTTGCTATAAACCGCTGTCTCTGCACTCTGGTGAGCTTTATAACAGCACCTATATCGCATAATTTTGCGGCTCCCGTCTGGCTGCAATTTTTTCGATCGATTTGGTGAAGCAAGATCTTCCTCCGAGGTTCATTTTCTGTTCCACAGGGAACACTGAAAGGCTCTCCGGCCAACTTTACCACAGGCGCAACAGCCTGTTAGCTGCGGCGTAGCAACAGGTTGGGAAAGTAATGGCGACCGGAAGTCCAAAACTGAAAGCAGGGCGTCAGGTCACAACCGGCCAATAGTGTGTGCGGTGGCTTGTTCAAAGAATGGCGCCACTTTCCCCAGGATAGAGGGGCTTTATCACGCTGTTGCATGTCGCGGTCTTGGCGGTTGGTCGTAGAAATGCTAACGAAAAGCTGCGAGTAGCACAAGCGAACGGGAGTGTCGCTGTCGTCGCGGTGTCCCAGCTTCTGGCTGCTGAAGCCTCCGTGGACTTCCACAGTGGAGAGCGACTTGCAGCAGAACAGGCGTCTGCCACACACACCACACCTGTTGGGACGCCGCCAGGATCGTAGCTGGCAACGGCATGACACTTTTATGATGTAACCAGGCGGAAATGGAGGGACCACTTTTTCTGGATGCAGTAAACACCCCAGTCGGAGACGCGCTCCAGGCACCATACTCAAAACTCGTGAAACGAAACTTCGACTGCCAGAGAAGGAAACGGCCGGAAACGGCACACGTGTATGCCTTGTAAGTATCGTACTCTCTTTTGAGCATTGCTCTCAATACTCGACAGCTGAGCCGGTCGAGTCCGTCGAGCTCAGGGTCGACGATGCATACGGCATACTACTTGGTGCCCCGAACACCTTGAATGTGAATCGCAGCTACGCCCGAAAGACTCCGGGTCCCAGGTGCATCCTACGTATCTTCAGACTCTGGGATCCGGGTATGTGCGACGTATCTTTAGATTCTGGGATCCGGATACGTCCGACGCATCTTTATAGACTTTGGGTTCCAAATACGTCCGACGTACCTTTAGACAGCGCTACTTAAAAGTAGTATGCTTATAACTAGGGTGTGCATTTTCCGGTTTTAACCGAAAAATACCGATAAACATCCGTCGGTGACGAAAATATAAAATCGGTTAAAACCGAAAAACACCGGTAGTTGGATATTTTCGCCCTGGTTAAAACCGAAAAACACCGGTCGTTGCTAGTTTCCGACCTAGCGAAACCCTTTCCCCGTAGAGGTTCGTCAAACGTGTTATCTCGTGGATCCTGCATTCTTCCAGTGTTTATACATGGCTTGCAGGTGGCGTCAGTCCGCCCTCCTTTCTGGGGGTCAAAAGCGTCTAGTGAACGCAGTGGAAGCTAAGCTCTCATGCGCCTTTCCCCTATTGTGTCTCCCATGGCCCCCTTTTGTGGAAAAATGAACGCAGTGGAGGGTAGGCTCTCACGTGCCTTTTCCTCATTGTGTCTGGCCAAGTGATGTCGGTGCAAGCCACGTATTCAGAGGTTGCTGTGGTTCCTGGAAGACACTGCCAACGTCCGTGTCGTACAAGAGCGTGCGTTTTCATAATTGCGGGTTGCGAACCGCAAGGAACGTGCTGCCATGACGGCAGCACGTTCCTTGCGTGTAGATGTAAGCATGAAAGTATTCTTGCATCTACTATAATAACCAAGTGTGAGAAATAGTTGCTTCCTAGAGAAGAAGTGTATGATCTATGTGAATATAATTGGAACTCTCTGTCTGTGATCAATCGCTTTTTTTTCACCGATAATCACCGATTTTAGCCTCGTCATGAGACGTTCCACCGAAATACACCGGTGTTTTGAAAATAAATAAACACCGAAAAACATCCGCCGATTTTTCTCACAAATAAACACCGGAAAGTACACACCCTACTTATAACTGCCTAGAAAAGTAAGGCGGAATACATAATTTTAGGTACACTATGAATTTCTTCAATTTTCAGGGATAAAAAAAAGCTGATGGCTGCGAGCCACCGCAAAGGTTTTGAGAGAATTGGCTTGTGGACAAAAAGTATCACCAGACATCTGTACCACTGTGCAGCCACTAGTGGAGGAGATGGAGAATTGATGCAGGCAAAGTGGTTGTCAATGCTGAATCACATCGGTGACGTACACACTGGCCACAGTGAGGTCTTCCCAGCCTGCGAGCATGGCCCCCTTGAGCGTAGAAAATGGATTACACAAGGCAGGTGATTTCGGCATAATCAGAAGTGCAGAGATTTTCTTGCCTGCATAGCACTACTGGCCTTAGTATACTGATATTACTGTTTGAAGACATGGTTCATGCATATCCGGTGCTTTTAATGAACTTTCGAATGTGAATTATGAACTCGTGCCAGGACATTGGTCTGATACATACAGGTTCCAAAGGTCCAGACTTAGAGAAGGTTATTCCTGACTCTTTTTCTTCGACTTTCCCTCATCCATTACCGTAGTCTCCGGTTTTCCCACATGATGTCCAGAATTTCTTTGCTCAAAAGCGATTTCACTCTTGGAGAAGGGTTGAATAAAATTGAAGCTGTTTCTAAGAAATACACGGTCTAGAAGCGTGTTGGTTTTGAGGTCAAAGATGTAAGAAAGAATAAACATTTAGGATGGGGACCCATCCTAAATCAGGGTATCACCCGATTCCTTTCACCCCATTGTCACACACGCTCAATCTTACACTGGGTGCAGCCCTTGTTTTTATGATACACGAATTTCGGAGGGCAATAATAGCAGATATGGCCGGTAAATCATAGAGGCGATTGCCATCCACAGCGTAAAAAACAATGTTTCTACCCCCTCATTGCTCCTGACGAAGACTGAAGTCGAATTTCTGAAACCAGAGATGACACTGTCAACTTGACTATGTTTTTATCTTATTGTCTCTTTCCTTCCGTCTATCTTTTGATTTTCCCTTCCCTCGGTTTTTTGCACCTTTAATCTGCTGCTCGCTCTTGGAATTTCATATTTGTTTGTTGCTACCTGAAAGAAGTGGTTGTTCAGTCCCTGTCCTCAATCGGTTTAAAAGAAAGCTTGTGTGTGTCCGATAGGAGTGGTACTTTTAACTCTGTTCAATAGAAATTCTGATATGCAAATGAAACTAGTCAGTAAAACAGGAAAGAGGTAGTGCGTATTTGGCAATGCGGAAGCTATGCTTATGAATCAGCTGGGGTGGAAAATGTGGGTATGCTATTATTCCTTGGACTTCATGTGAATGTAGGAGTGAAGTTATGTAAAGCTGTAGGTACTAATTCTTATAAAAGTTAGAGAAGGCCGGTTATCTTTAGTTATTGGATTCTAAAAGTAGGAACAAATGACTATATTTTGCCACTGATGGTACTTCTGGAGTGGTGGTGCTTGAGGCATTTTAGTCTGAATGTGTGGGTAGAATAGCCAATGCATGCTTTGTCAATTGCAGATTACCCTAGGAAAGTTGAATTTTCAATTTTCATTTTCTGTTTGAAGGAACTGATGCCCACGACCGGCTGGCCACTATTCTGGCATCAAAGTCTTTTTTAAAAGATTTCAAGCAGCTGTCTTCAGAGGGTCAAACGTTTAGCGTCGAGACGTTTCATTCGACATTGATTCAGTTTGCCCCCAAGTCTGTGGCCTACTCGTACACCATCATGGCTGCAAGGTATGGATTGGATTATTGGGCTTCCTAATATTGCCATATTTCCAAGTGGCCGAGGTAGCGCAGTGGATTGCGTGCCCCGCTTTCACGCAGCAGTGCTGGGTTAAAACCGCAGTCAGGGAAGTGCCTTTTATTTTTTCTTCTATTCCTCATCTAGTTTCTGGAAGATTCTAGAAAAAACTGGCATGTTCCCCTTATTTTTCGCTTGTACATTGTGTTGTTCTAGTCATAGTACTTCCTGGGCGGTACGCGATGATTATAAAATAGTGCACCCGTGGCTGCAGACAGTCAGTCTATTGCTAGCACTTGTCCTAGCTGTTGCGCCAAGATTCAACGCTCGCGACGTACTGTTATTCTCTTCTGTTTTGGGCACTAGTTCGCCCCATTAAACATTATTTTCCTTAGTTACTCCTTGCCTCTCTCTGTCATTCGTGACAATATTTCAGTAATAGTTATAAATTTCCTCTTTGAAGGACCTTCATAGCAGCACTGCATTACAATGAAAATTCAAACAGAAAGCAGCGAAAAACAAAAGATGGACAACCACAGTGGAAAAGAAAATATCCGAAGGCGCAAGGTGGAGAACCAGTGGTCCAAGAACTCATGGAGGATGCCACATACAGTGAATTAATATATTCATTTTCTTTTAGAACAAATGGAAGAAACATGACAAACATGCTATCCCCCTTGTTTTGTGAAAGCCTTCAATGGCAGATAAACAGGGCAAACACAACGGACAGAGTAGAAGACTTGCTGGAAACGATGCTGCCTCACTGTCCATTGTCTTCACACTGTTTATGTGTTGCCACTAACTAGCCAAAGCTTCAATACTTGTGCAGGTTGATACCATCGAGGTTGCCACAGCATACCATGCTCTTGCAGACTGCTATAGTCTGGTATGGGTTAAGAATACCCCAGAAGCTCCTCCCACGTCATCATTGTCGCCGGCCATTGTTTCTGCGCAATGCTCAAGTAGTCCGCTATTTAGGCTGTGACAACCTTTGCAGCTGAGCGAGTCAATACATTGTATTAGCAGGAAAAAGAAATGGCACAAATACACCATACAGGATATAAAAGGACTGACCGATGTCTCTTGCTTTTGTTCACCTCAGTAAACACGAGCACAAAAGATGCACCAGCAAATATACAGGTGTTCAAATTTCCAAGAGTTTGACTTAATAAAGAACGTGATATTTTTGTTTAACAGCGCATGTTCCATGTTTTGGGTGGCGTACAGCTGTTTCCCCTGAATCTTTTTTGCAGTGGAGCTGTTCAGGTCTAGTTTCCCCAGTTTCGTGTCTGTGGACAAATAAATCTTGACAACCCTCTGTATAGCTACCGCCATCTATAAGCAACGGCGGCAACTGGCTTGCCGGTTGTCGCCGTCACTCATAAATGGTGGCACAGAGTACAGCTCCGCTACTCTTGCTTCTTCATCGGAGTAAATAGGCTGAAAGCTTTTCTGTTCTTCAAAGTTCATTTTTATTGGAGAAGAAGAAAACGAGCTCTGTCACACTTACATCACATATCTCGTCATGGCTACAGCCCTTCTTGGGTGGTCTGCAGAGCAACTCATTGTCTTAGCTGGTACATGGTTGTATTTATTGTGCTCATTCTTAACTTGTATAAGAACTATAGCATATTGCATGTTTCTGTTGAAACTCTTGAAACTAATAATCTTAGTGACATTGGCACGGGAATACACTATATTTTCTTTTTGTCAATTTCCATGCGCTTCTGTACAACTGGAGCACGTGCTAGTTAGGTCTTTTTGACTCGTATCTGTAAACATTGTGCTGAATACATTCAGTGAGGCACAGTTTCTGCTCGGGGATACGGGGCACAATAACAAAACCTCGTGCAGCTGCCATATCTGACTTGTATATTTCCCGCTTTTAATTCTCAGGTAGGAGAATGCAAATGTGCCCTCTACTACAATATACAGCAGACAACATTTGTCCAAAATATTGTTCAAAATCTCGCATGCTCAATCATTTCATGCGCACCCCAAGCATTTGGAGCTTGTTGTTCTAATTCTGTTATCAGCACAAAGCCAGATTGTGACGTCATGTTTGATCTTTCAGACTACATTGACCGGTTGTTGGAGACGGTCCTGCAGTTAGAGCGGCAGCCGACTGCCCACTGCTCAACATCACGTCCTGTGCCTCCCCCACTCAGCCAGAGCCAACCACATGTTCCTACTCAAGAACTTGTTAGGAAGCGTCGCCAGAGATTCAGCCTTCCTTGAGAGCTAACTATCCAACTGCTTGTAAGATACAAAAGCAATTCGTTGTAGCCCATAGCAACACATGTTTTACCAGAGTTAATCCTCTGATCGAAGTATTCTCCTAAATTGTTTTCTCTATTGCAAATTTTTTGTAAAGCATTGGGGAACTTTTTTTGTATGCCCGCTCACAGTGTGAGCAACAATGCTTAATTTGGCCTGTTTGTTGGTCACCCTCACATAATCACTCGCTCAGGGTAAATTATATTTCTAAAGTTGGACACAGATATTTACACAGTTCCCTCTCAGTGAAGGACTTCAAACTATCTGCATAAACGTAATATAAGTATTTAGTACTCCACATATCTGAAGCCCGTATATGTTTCAGATGGGTAGGCTGCCCGGATCTTGACGACTACGCAGCTTGGCAGTGGCTTGCGGTGGTGGCGTCCGAGCTTGTGCCAAACCCACCGCACAAACTGATTATAGGCCGTCAACCTGTACCGCCTATGCAAAGAAAGAAAATAAAGCACATGTTATTTTGCCCCTCTGTGAGAGGAACACAATGAAACAAAACAAGTTTTTGGTTCTTACCTGTGGAGATCTGGGGCGTTGATGGCTTCCCGCTCATGTTTCATTAAGTTGAAATACGCTATTTCAATTGCATGTTGATTTAGAACACCCCCAAGAAATGTAGGGTGCACAGTGATGCATATTTCAGATGTTGGGATTTTTTCTCGCACTTTCTGGATGCTGTGGCAACACAAATTCTCGGTGGCTGTGCCCATCACTTCACAGAGTCCACACCCGCACCTGGAATACACCGAATTTTGCCAAGCGCATCAGTATTTTGTTACTGACACAAGTGACAACAAACATATAGCTGCAACTTACTGGAGGAAACATACTCACCCGAAGGATAAAGGGCAGCTGACATTACGCCGAGAAAATGTTTGTATAAGCTCTCCCCACTAGTCGCAAGTTTGGCTGAAGTACATTTACAAAAGATGATTCGTGACGCTGTTTCAGCAAATGTGCGAGCAATATTCAGACCGCAACTTTTGTCTGCGATTATATGGCGACATTCCTAGCCTGGGGTTTTCCGATCTCGGTACACAGCAGACTGCGGTTGTTGACGCGCAGAGTTAGGATTTGAACTTAGGAAGAATCCTGGGCTCTGCAGTGCGACCTTCCGTTCCACCAGCTTCAAGCGGCGGTGCGGCTTGGCTACAGCTATCGGCATGGGGTCTCAAAAACAGAAAATATAAATAAGTGTCACGCCAGGCAACGGGCGGCATCGTGCTGAGAGCGCGAGCTGAGCGTGTGCGAAAAACGCACCGCGACAAAAGCTTGTGAGCGAATAAGTGGTGACCTGCCGATATCATAGTCACGCAATCCCCCACTGTTTTCCCATACTCTTCAAGAGCTTAACGACTGTGTTAAGATGGCAATGGCAACGGTGAGCGCATTCAACAGGTCAACAGTCGCACGAGCTGCTATGCCCACACGTTCGTGAACGCGTCACTCAGATGACATGGGCGGCCTTGCAACACCGATTTGCTCGCACTGATTACAAAATAGTATATTAAAACACTCACCACTCCAAACCGTGCCATTGAGCGTTATCGGCCTCCTCAGCGTCGTCTCTGACGACATCGCCGTCGTCCTCCGCAACGCTCTCATCGTCGTCGTCGCTGGAGCTGGTCGCCAGCGGGTCGAATACAAAATGACCAACTTCAGGAATTTCTTCGTAATCGCTCGCGTCACTGCTGAGATCGCTCTCGAAGACGTAGGAATTGCCAGAATTTGAAGAGTCCGACGAAGTGAGTGAAGCCGGAGCCTCCATCGGCTCTAATGCCAGGAGACGACGACGAAAGCTGATGCCAGAGGAGAGGATCAGTTTGGGAGTGCTTGCAGCGGGTCAGCCCCAGCTGCCCCAGCTCCGCCGGTTGCGCCGCGGCGCTACCAGGGGCGCGCGTGCAGCAGAGGCTGGCTACGTCACGGACCTCCGAACAGCCAAGACCCACCCACTGGGGGGAGCCGAGGGTCCGTGATAAAAACGACTGTATCTCAGAAACTAGCGGTCTGTTTACAAAACAAAATATCGCAAACGCATGCTAACACATAATGGGTTCTTCAGCCATAGTTATCTCATGTTTTATATATTCCGTGTCATAACCCCTTTAAGCGCCATACGCACATTCGCGTTTGAACGCGTTTGAGTGCGTTGCGGAGTCCTTGCGGCCAGGCGCGGTCGCTTGCGGACCGACGCGCGCCTTCCCGCAACGCTCGGTAGCGCGACGCAAGCGAGTAGAGACTCTTTCAACTCTCCGAAGCGTTGCGGTGCGTTCGGGCGCGTTCGACCAATCAGAAGCCGAAAGAGGAGAGGGGGTGACGTGTTCGCTCCGGCCGACTCGGCGAGACGTATCCGGTTCGCCGGCCGCAGTGCTTGCTTTTTCGTTTTGGGGAGCGGTGGGGACTGTATTTTCCAAGGCTGCGATGGTTCAAGCTTGACAAAACGCCGGGGAAGCCGGCGAGATTGTCCCACGATCGAACGCTTCGACGCTGTCGCCGTGCGCCGCCATGTTGCCTTGGATTTCGCTTACTATTGGTGAGCCACTAGCGACGATAGCGCGTTCTTATTGGCTCTTGACTGCGGTTGACTGCGTGTCAACGCAACTGTGCGTACAAGTTTGGCGCAAGCGGTCTTCGCAACGCAACGCGTCCGCTTGCCGCTACGGAACGCACCGCGCTCAAACGCGAATGTGCGTACGGGTCTTTACGACTTATAGCCAGGTTAGAGAAAACTATATAAACTGAATATTTAAAATGGAAAGAATAAAAACACAGAGGACCGTTCACAGACGACCACACTTTATTTAGCAACCACGAATGTTTATTTCCGGGCACTAAAAATTCGCACGTTAACCTGAACGGGGTAGGGGTGAAGGAGAAGAAGCTACGAACGAGAGCGCCGATAAGGACTGAGTCACCGTGTCGTGACTAACCATGTTTATTATTTTTCTTTTTCTAGTTCGGACCTGATAAATTCCAATTCACGTCTTGTCGGTTCCAGCGATGCAGATGAAACCTTCTTTCTGGCCTTTTTCGATGAAGAATGTTTTTATGATTTCACGCCGGAGTCACTGATGGTGTGTTGCTAGAACAATGGTGCTGTTAAAGGGATGGTGAACCGAACATTTCGGTTTCCATAATAAGCGGCACACTATATTTCCATAAGTCAGCAGCCGCCGGTGCGCGCGAGCACACGAGACAGAATTGACGTCATATACGCCCCCTTCGAGCTTATTTAGCGTAAATGGAAAATATGATGACGTCAATTTCGTTGCGTGTGCTCGCGCACACCAGGGGCTTCTGACTCATAAAAAGATAGTGCGCCGCTTATTATTGACGCTGAAATGTTCGGTTCACCATCCGTTTAAAGTACGGTGCGCACCCATGACACTTCTTCGCCTGAGCAGCGATAAAATGTGTAGGATGATCGGCTTTTGATGTTGCCTTGTTCTGATGCTCTCGTAGACGGTCGTTCGTGCATCGGTCAATTTTCCAATGTACTCAGCTCAGCGCTTGAGCGGCACCGAGTACACCGTGTCGGTCGTACATTCTCTGAAGTGGGTGTGGTGTTTTTTTTCGCAGGTTGGCTTGATCTCTTCCCGGTTTGTCATACCTCATAGGCTCGCCAGTTTGAATCTACAGGAGAAGACGACTTTCGTGTTAAAGCGGGTATCGATTAATCGGATGCTGTGGGATACACTGAAAATAAGAGATGCTGATGATCCTTTCGCATGCAGGGAGAGAGAGAGAGAGGGGGCGGGGTTCTGGTAGTTCTTGCTACGATAAGTCGGTGAAAACAGGAGGGCGATTCGTTCCACTGGGCATCATGAGCACCGAAGTCGTTGAGTGTAGGTGTTGATGCTTTCGGCTTCTGAATGCGGACATTTTTTGAGATTAGTAGGGCCTTGATCATCCCCAGTTTAACCGACTTGAAGTGTGCAATTTTAAACGGAAGACCTACTTTTTCGAGCGCTCTTAGAAAGTCTAGCAAACACATTGCGTTGACTTGGTCAGTCGCAAGTCCCCCAATTGCAGGCCTTGGGAAGATGGGTCCTCCCTCTTGAACCTGAGATTATCTAATGCTTGGTGGAAGGAGAGAAAATGGCTTCCACTTTTATAGTTTCAGAGTGGATGATGAGATAGTCGTCTACGTAGCGGATTACTTCACACTGGGGGACTGTGCTTTTTTGGTTTGCCTCCACGGCCCAGTCTACGTAGGACAAGTATACTTCACTCAGTACTACCACAAGGCACGAGCCTATGGGCGTGCCGTACGCCTCTAGAACGACCCCTAGGACAACCGCAAGGATGACGTCTGGAACGACCTCAAGGATGACGTCTAAGACGACGTCTAGGACGACGTCCGCCTACGCGCGCAGCGCCTACGCACGGCGCATTGGAGGCCAGATACCGTTTCTCGAAAACTGGGTGAAGTAGCTGAAGAATGGTATCACCTTAAAAAATTAAAAACGCAAGCTCTTCAAGAAAAAAACATAATCGAAAGATGTAAAAAAAAGAAAAAAAAAAAAAAAGAAGAAGAAACGACGGGCGAAACAGAAAGAGTCGAATAAAAAAGTACCCGAAAGAAATAAGTATTCTTGCGTGTGTCGTTTCTCGCGCACGGCTATATGAGCTGGGCAAACAGTTTTCGGATAGCCGGCATATAGCGGTAGCGAAACGGGGGACGGTGTATTTTTAGGAAATTCGGGGAGACGCAAATGGAGGCGCGGGCGGTTTGAGTAATAACGTGAATCCCGGGGCCTAGACCCAGTCGCTAAATTACGGCCGCTCGGGGAAAACGCGCGCGTGACGTTGCCCCGCTGCGTTGTGGTACAGCCGCTGGGTCGTGGACGTGCCCGCGATCGCCCCTGCTGCCGGGAAAGTGCGCCGACGCCATTGTCACGTCGGCTGAGCGGATTGCGTCTGTTATAGACATCGGCGGCTTTTGCATCTCGTAATTTTCTTAATCCGCCGCATTTGGGTGATGTTCTGTAATGACACGCCACGTCAATGCATTCTTGGGTACTTAATGAGCAAACTCTAATTCACTGTAATTAGGAGCTTGGTCGCCATAAGAAACGCCACAAGAAGTTTGCAAATTTTCTGCGATCCAATTTGTGTGGGAAGCGGAAAATGCCAGGTTCTCCAATCAGGGGCTATAACTCGGAGGCGAAATGTAAAGACATACCTTTCTATAATGCATGAAAAATATAAGTGTTTTTTTTTTTCTTCTTTTCAGACGAATTTGAGGTGGTCTTCTCTAGTCTCATACTTTCCTACACCTTCGGTAAGAGGTGCTTAGATGATCGAAGGCTGAGGTATCATGCAATTTGAGTGGTATTTCTCCATCGAGTGTTAACAAATCACTGGTACTTGCTAGGGCCCAGCTCCGAGAAGTCAGTTGGTTTGACAGTTCATGTGTATTCGGAATTATTACCATAAATTAATAT